GCAAGACGGATCTTGGTGAGAAGTGCCAGACCGCATCTGGGCAATCTGAATGGGTCTGCCCCCGCTGCGCGGGTCCACACCAGAGTGCCCTGCCGCGGTCCGAGCGCGGGTGGGTGTGCAGCCGAGATCCCGGCACCAGCTTGGCGCAACTAGCTCCAGCCACCCAGGGCCGTGGATGGCACGACCTCCTGGGCTCAGCAAGGGCCACCAGCCACCAGACCAGCAGAGACGAACAGTTGGCTGTACGTCCCACTCCTGCTCCAAGGAGCTCGCAGCCTTCACCCTGCCACGGGACGCAGTTGGACAACCCATCCAATCTTCGGGCAACGGTGGCGCGCTTGCGCCGCCGGCAGCGCCCATCCCATGGCAACGGCTCCAACATGCCTTGTCCACCTTGTAGGCCTTCGCCAGTGCAACCGGCCACCCACCCCCCCCCAAAGCACCCTTGCCAGCTCTCCTGCACCGCGGGTCCTCCCAGCCAGCCGGGTCCCTGATCCATATCCATTGGGGGGTGGAACCTTATGGCAAAGCAGTGGCTACATACCGGCCACAGCACAAGAAGCGTTGCTACAATCCTTACCACCCCTAACCATTGAACTTGCCACACAGGGCACCGGCTGCACCACCCACGGGCTGCCAGCACACCCTGAGGCGTGGCCCCAAAACCACCCAAGCACAGCTGCCCGGCCTCCAACAACGAGAACGACAGCCATACCCAGTCCACCACCTCCAGTCCTGCCAGTTCCACATCATCAAGTCCACATGCCACACCCAGACCAGCCTGGGTGTGGCACCCGCAAACCCAACCACCACAGCCAGCTGACAACCGATATCCTTCCATCACACCACATCAACTCCAACAGGCACTGCAAGCCTTGGACGCCGTTGATGCAATCTCCATCCTCCTGCTTCGGCCATCGGCCTACCGGAGCCCGCCCACCTTCATTCGGGGGCCCTTCCGCCCCGCACTTTCCATTGCTTTAACTTTGGCATGCATCCTCGAGGCCGACACAGGCCAACAACCCACCAGGGCATGGACACTTTGGTGTTTGCTCCCGAGAATGCTTCTGCACCGGGATCCCCGCATTCGCTCCTTGCCTAAAGCCGTCTGGCGTGACCGGCTCATCAAGCTCCAGCATGGCCAGTGGCAAGCTCCTCCTGCAAGGGGCCATCTCCAGCGCCTCCCCACAACAGGGTGCCCACATGGTCAGCAGCACACCAGGCGCTCCTTTCCGAGCCTGTTGCCCTGGCGCCCCCGCAACGTTAGAGAAGCTGCGCAACCCAGACAGGCGACTAAACCAGCCATACCAACCCATCAGCCCTGAAGCCGCCAATTTCCAAGCACATCCGGCCCACCTGCCCAGAGCCACGCTAGTGAGCAACCTCCGTCGGGCCCGTAAAAGAGCGGCGCCTCAGGGCCCTCAGGCCTCACTTCCGAAGCACTCCGCCTCATCTTGGATGATGAAGCAGTGACGGACCAATTCGTCCAAGTTAGCCAGATCCCAGCCCAGGGATTGGTGCCCCCACCAGTCGCGCACTTCCTAGGCCTTGGCCGCATGGTCGCCTAGCAGAATCTCAGCAGTGGCATCCGCGGCCTCGTCGTTGGCGACGTCGTTGGCGACACCTTCCGACGCCTGGAGTCCCGCAGCCTCGCCGAACTCTTCGCCAGCCAGTTCCAAAGGGCCTGTCGCCCGTGGCAGTTTGCCCTATCCACCCGGGCGGGCACGGAAGCCGTGGTCAAAGCCTTATAGTAGACCCTGACCAGAGCATGGATGGCATTGGGGCATATGATCACATCTCCCGCACGAGAATGTTGACAGAGGGCTCCTGCGCATGCCGGAAGCTAACCAGTGCTTGCCCTTCGTCCGTCTGTTTTATGCCAGCCCGTCACGCTAAGTCTGGCACGGCCAAACCGGCGCGCACCCCACACCATCCACCAAGCAGAAGGGGGAGAACAACGCGACCCGGCGACCCCTTGATGCCTGCATTGTATTGTTTAGGCAAGCATGCTGCCCTGGCCGCCATCCAGCAACAATTGCACCCCACCGAGGCATTATATGCTTTCCTGGATGATGTGTATCTGGTAGTCTCTTTCCAGCGGGTCAGTGATGTACTTGGCATCGTGCAGCACCACTTGCCCACCCATGCCCATGTCCATCTCCACCAAGTTAAGGTAAAACCCGCGTGTGGAATGCGGCCGGCAGAGCCCCACTTTCCCTTCACAAGGCACCAACAGCTTTTTGACCGTTTGCACACCTTGGATGATCTCCAAGCCTCTTGGTTGTGGCAGCCGCCCCACACCTGGGTCTTTGCGGACACTTTGAGAGGGCTCCTCCAAACCGACGGATTGTCAGCACCAGCACCCGCAAGAGCGCACCTTCCTTTTGCTGCTGGCGGCCTGGGCCTCGTATCGGCAACATGCACAGCACCGCAGATCCAAGCGCCCCACCTTTATGATGCCCTGCAGCCTGGCTTCACACTCGGCAGGACCACCCTTTGTCCAAGCTGCCGGCAATGCAGCGCACCAACTGAGGCAGTAAGGCTGGGACTCACCATCCCTGTCAGCCCTCCCAGCTCAGCCCCCAGCTCCAGAAAAGCCCACCCGGGCATCCTCACCGAGAAGGTTCGCCGCCCCAAATCTGGACCGAACAGTCGGTCCTACACTCCACGTCGCCCCGGACACGACCAGTCTGGCAGCCCCAGACGGGCCGTGTCTGGGATATGCCGATCAATTGACCCCTCAAACTACCACGCCTGGCCGTTTCTCGGTCGTCCGCCAGTCCCCGTCGGTCCCACGACACCACTTACCGGTCCGGCCGGTCCCACGTTTTCGGGTCGAGTGAGTGAACTGGTGGTTGGTCGGTCGGCAGACCGGCCTCCGCACGAGCCCGGGCCACCCACTTCGCAGCCTTGACCCAGCCAGCCAGGCCATGATGGCAGCCGCACCTTTGCTACCATCCCGTACAAACCAGAGTTTATATATCCCAACCATCTCTTCCGCATCCTGCCTCCGTCTCCCACTGCCACTGACCCAACGCCGGTGCCGGTGCCGTCGCGTCCTCGGCCCCCTTGGCAACCGCCGCGCAGCCTGCCCACAGTCAGGGGCCCTCAGGAGCCCAGGTTCCCTCCGTCGAATGAGCAGCGGCCAGAATCTGCCGCGAGGCAGGAGCAAGAGTCACCACCAATACCCTGCCCTACTCACAGGCCTCAACTTACCCGCAGTCGACCGGGTTGACAACCGGCGCATTGAAGTCATCGCAAATGGGCGACAGTTCTTCCATGGGGCCCAATTGGCAGTCGACACGGCGCTGGTGTCCCCACTTTCAGGCGCCAGCCAACCAAGGAGGAGAGGCAGCGCATATGCAGCGGCAGCCTTGCATGACGCGAGGCGCGCCAAGGAACGAGCCTATACCCTGAACTCACCCGAGGGGGGCGATGCCGACTCGTCGTTCTCGGAATTGAAATTGGGGGCCGCTTCAGTGTTGAAACCGCGAGTTGCATCAGCCTGTTGGCCGAACCCCTCACTAGCCCACCCCCGCACTCCCGTGGTGGCCTTTGGACTTTGCACATCTGTGAAAGGCCAGTATAAAGAGCGTCAACAAAGCCTGCTGACTGGACCCACGCGAAAAAGGCGTGCCCGAAAAAAGACCAACTACCGACTACGTACCAATCTGCCGCATTGCTACTACTACTCCTCCTCCTACTACTATTACTACTACTACTACTACTACTACTACAACTACTAAAACAACTACTACCACTACTACCACTACTACTACTACTACTACCACTACTACCACTACTACCACTACTACCACTACTACCACTACTACCACTACTACCACT